GCTCTCCCTGGCCACTCTCTTCACAGGGTTTCCAAGGCAAGACCGGCCCTCCCGGCCCCCCCGGCGTGGTCGGCCCTCAGGTGAGACACCTGCACCACCAGCCACACAGCGGGGCAGAGCCTGGGGCCAGCTCCCGGGATGGAGGGTGTGGGCGCCACTGTGCCCGGGCCACGGGGCTCGCGATGCTGGGGGCCGCCCGCTCACGGGGACCGTGTCACGGGGAACCTGGGCCGCGCGGAGTCAGCCTCTGTCCGCCCGTCCCCCACCGCAGCCGGCCACTCACCACAGGGTTGGCCTGGCCAGGCAGGGTCCGAGCGGTGACCACATCCGCCCACGCTGACCTCGTCCTTTCTGGATCTTCCCGGAAGGACTCAGAGGAGCGTGGGGGTTTTGGGGCGGCCGGGGCCTCTGCTGTGGCCGGGCTGTCCCAGGTGGGGGTCAGGGCCACTCGCCCGTACACACGGCTGGAGGTTTCCCGAGTGACGCCAGCATCCCCACAGGGCCCCACGGGGGAAACTGGCCCCATGGGCGAGCGTGGCCACCCTGGGCCTCCGGGCCCCCCCGGCGAGCAGGGGCTTCCAGGCGCCGCTGGAAAGGAAGGGACAAAGGTGAGTGGCCAGGCCGCTGCCCAAGGGGGGTGTCAGCGGGATGGTGCCCTCGGTCTCGTGACACGCCCCAGCCACACACCTCCCCAGCTTTGGCCCAATGTGAGGGGCCAGAGCCGACCGCTGGGGGCAGTGGGGTAGGGTCCAACAGCCCTTGGCTTTCTGCCTGGGCTGCACCCGCTGACCCCAGCTGCTGGAAAAGGACAAGCCATGGACGCTGACCGGTCCACGTGGACGGAGCAGAGGCGCTCCTTGCAGCACCCCAGCCCCAGGGCCCCCCGGGGTGGCCCAGGCAGAGGCTGCCTGTCCTGCCCTCTTCATTGGCAGCCTGACTGGCCCAGGCCAGGAGCCACGAGTCGCATCTGCGACAGGCCAGAAATAGGCTCCGGCCTCTCAGAGGGCCACGTGGAGAGCAGCTGGCGGTGACAGTGCAGACACGTGTCCCCGGGAGACCAGCACACCGCCGGGGACCCGCGGGGCTGAGGCCCAGCATTGCTGGGGAGCCCCCTGGGCCTGGAGCCCGGACCAGACAGCCTGAGCCGGTTCTGATTTCAGGGTGACCCAGGCCCAGCCGGCATCCCAGGAAAAGACGGTCCCCCTGGCCTGCGGGGCTTCCCCGGGGATCG